TGATGGCCCATGATCTTTAGGCAGGGGTTTAATGTCATTTGTAATTCATATTAATCTCTTTCCTTTTTCCAAGGCACACACCTTTGGGTGACTGGTCTCTAAGCTTAGTGAAACACAGGGCTGGAACTGAAGGTAGTTGATGCCATGTCAATGTCCAAACGAGACAGTGGGCCTACAGCAGTCCCAGAGCAGTCCACAATAAAAAGGATGTCTATTTATTTACGATGCAGCTTGCAACAACACAAAAGGAACTATAAACAGATAAACGTTTATCTCATGTGCAAGAGGCCCTCCTTCTCCTGAGTCTTGACAGAGAACTCCCCAGCAGAGGTATGTATATGCCTTTATTTGGAAGCTCTGCCCTTGTTATTGTACCTCCCATAAGACTCTTAAAATTCTGCTGCTCGTTTACATACATCCACACAACAATAACCATACTGTATACAAAAATAACCCTTCTCCACACTAATGCCCCTAACATTTTTTATAGTTAATATTTTATTAAAAGTAATTATTTTTTGGAGACTTTGTAATTAAAGATGATTTTAAGTGGAAGGGGAGACCAGCTCCCCTCCAGTTCACAAGAGGGCGCTGTGGAAACTGTGGAAGTGGTTGGCCTTGACTCTGAATCTGGTTTGGCCTCTGAATGCAAGTGACTGAGATATGGCTGCAGCTAATAAACACTATCAGACCTATTTATAACTATTTACAAATCCCTTTGTTTTCCTTTATCGGCCTAATGCTGTTATGGACAACACAAGTCTTCTATCAGGTAAGTGCACAGTTTCTTTATTTTTATAGGCTGCAACAAACACTATAGGCCTTGGGTGGCCACCACTGGGAGCCTGGGAAAAAAAATTGAGGCAGAGAGTGAAACAGGGAAAGTTTCAGGGAAAACTTTAGCAGGTGTCTTAACTCCCTAAGGGTATAAATATACCTCACTGGTACTGTCTTATAATGTCCGTGTTGAAACCTTACAAAACAAGTGCAATTTCAAAGAGTTTATTGATTTTGATGGTCTTCTGTAAAAACACAGGCGGCTCAAAGCGTTTCCGACACTCATCCAGTGCCACACCGCCTTTGCGTTAAACTGCGTTAAAGTTACCCCTTGAGAAAGATTTCTTCTTGCACAAATCAAGACCCTGGAATGAGCCCCAGCTGCTACATTCTGCCCCTTTCAACAAAGACTTTAGAGAAAGAACAGCACCTCCACAGAACTTCAACTACTTCTCATTTGGTTTTCCTTTAGTATATTTGTTTTTAAATGTCAGAAACCACAGTTCTATAAGGACTGTTCTTACCACAAATATATTCATTCGTTTCCATCATTGTTGTCAAGCCATGTCATGAAGGAGGTTTTTCTTAGCATCATTTTACTGACATACCTATTGTTTCATTTCCTGGTCTTTGTTGTTTGTTGTCCTTTCCTTTTCCACAGATGGATGGTTTCCATTATGTGCACCACATTAATCACAACAGTGCTGTGCTGTTTTGCTGTTCATTACTGCCCACTATGTTTAATAGCCTCTACTGCTTGAGCTACATTTCACAGACCACTGGTGCCTCTCTGGCTCATTTGTAGCCATGTTCCATGGATGCACACATGGCACTTCCTGTTTGTAGGATTCAACATGGCCACCTTTTGTTTGTATCAGGACTAAGACTAATGGTTACAACATAGGTTGACACATTTCACACTTCGGAGGATTGTAGGCTGAGATGTGTCATAAACACATACAGTACACAAAATCTCTGTGACAGAAGTAGAAAATAAGGATCTTGTTCAAGCTCTAAAACAGGGCAAGTTTGTTCATGTGAAATATTCCACACCAAACTGGGAGAAACAATAACACAAAGCTGTTAGTCTTTCAAATCCAATTGCCTTTTCAGTCTATGATTCCTTCTCTCTATTTACATTGTTTCAGATTTACTTTACTATTTGCTTTTTCTTAATTGGCAGCATTGACAGTAGCAAGAGAACTACTACTCAGAAAGGGCATAGTTGCAGACAATTGTATTATTCCCACTTCTGTATACAAAAGGATAAGCAAAAGTGGAAACTGTCAGCCCTTAATCCCCGTTGCAAATTCTAAATTCAAGAAATCTAAATTTAGTTAATATACAATTGTGCTGGTATTCCCTTAATGAATACTGTGCATTAAAGCATGAGTTAAAGCAATGAAATCATTGTGTAGGACTGCACTGTGAATCAGTCTCCTTGTATATTTCAGGGTAAGTCATAAAACATTATAATGTAATGTGAAAGACTTTGCTTCTAGGTCACAGACTTCCAGACACTTACTACCCGGACTCTCTCCTGCTTAAAACGGCAACTTACTGAAGAACTCGCCTAACCCCCTGTCAGCACTCTGTCTGCTCCACAATACAATTCCTAGATTGGATGTAAATGTTAACAGCTCTGGGTTGCCGGATTGCTATTTGAGCTCATACTGGGCATTCCTGTAATTACTGTACCTTCACCTCGTCCATCAAAAGTAAACTCATTGTTGTAGGAGAAACCCCAGCCGTAATTGATAGATTTGGAAGAAAAGTAACATAGTTCCCTAAAGCTATAGGAGTTTGTGTGTAATTTCCTCCTGTTCCACAGAGTATAAATTTGAACAGAGCCCTCACACATTTCAGATGGTCACGTCTGTAAGTGAATACTGCCCTCTCTAGGCTGTTTTTCTTTCTCAAGTAAATTGAATTGGGTTAAGAATAGAATTTGTAATAGTTAAAATGCATACATTTAAACTATGGCAAAAAAGGTATGGGTCTAAGGACATAAATGACATAATTTTAAAACTAAGTTCTAATTATTAACGGAATCTGTTACAAGCCAGTCTGTAATATTTTGTGTTTTAAGAAGTAAAAAAAGAATTCTAAACCAACAACAATGAATCAGGAAAATATCATAAATGAAATGTGATTTCCCTTTGTTTTCTATTAGTATGCACAAACCAGAAGCATTACTGCTCAGCATTTTAGCTGTCTAGAGAGATTGTGGGTAACTTAAATTAAGTGTATGGCAGTGATGAAAATGGTGGTTACTTTAGTGTGTCTAATGGCACTGTATATCCTGAACTTCATACACATCAAAAAGCAAGAATGAGTGATTAACTTTATGGCTCTGCACATTCTACGATTGGCACTCCAGTAGGTGAAAAAAGTGCATACAGACTGCTTGCTTTCCCCTGGGCACATATATTTTTTTTTTTTATGGAAGCAAATAAAGTTCACATTCACTAATCTATAAGAATTGTATTCCCTCTAGCAATGTTACTGAAGCACCTGGGTCTTATATATCTCTTATGTGTGCTTTGAAAATTTAAAACAGACGTCTAAACCATTTTCCCCAATTGGATTTCAAATTTGTCTGTGCAGAACCTAAAGAAAATGTTATAGTTTGAACTCACAAATACATCATATTAGTGATGTAGGTTTTATATAATTCCATTGAAATTATCGATAACTGATGAATATACCCTAAGTTAATGTATTTTTTGAGGTAGTTATGCACTATTTAAACACAATTATTAGAATACATTATGCAGTCTTTCTCTTGTATTAAATGATTTGTATTTTTACTCAGTTTAATTTATATAATGTAGCTCCTACATCTAAATCCTTGGTGTTCTACACATAATGAGAAACATTGACTTTTATTGCAGCTTCTGGCACTGAATACTATTTTCTTATGATACCCAAGTATACTTTGATCAGCATATTTTATCTTTTTCCTTGAGACCACAATACATATTACAAAATTCTGTTTTACACCAAAGTAAACAAATACGCCTTCAATATGGGCTCCATATTTATTTAGTCTTCTAAAGGAATTCTGGTACGTCTGCTGTAAGTACAAAATGCTTAGATTTACACTCTATACGTGTTAAGCCTTGGTCTCAATATCAATTTGAGATCGCAGGTTGTATAATGATTTTCACAGGCTCTAAAGGGAGTGGAGAACATTTTGTTACGCCAAAAGCTTCAGCAGGAACTTGTCAGAATTATCATCATAAAGTGTTAATTGCAGGTAAAATTATTATTGCCTTTATTTGCATATAAATTATAATCTGTCTAATAAACAAAATGGGTTATCTTATTTTACTTATGGTTTTGTCTTTGGACAGCAGGGTATTAATATAATGTTTAAATTACATCATTGGAGAGTTAATCCATTAAAATAATAATAAAAAAAACATTTATAACAAATTTAATCTGTTGCAAAAGTGCTCAAACTGCCTATGAGTGGCAGGAACTATGGTTAAAGCATGTTTTAATTCACTTTTGAAGGTCTAGCTGAGATTTTTCTTCCTTAAAAGAAGATTGCTAAGTGTTCTTTCAGAAAAGCTACAAGGACAAAACAAAATAAACCAACGGATTCCAAACTCATATTGTTAGATCGCGAACTAGACAACCCATCCAACAATGGGCCTGAGATTAAACTTTTGATATCATTGTTTTCTGTTAAAACCGTTGCTGTGACATCCTTTCTTGAAAGATTTTTGTTAAACTTGTATTGCATATTCACAAATGTCATACTGTTTTTTTTCCTCTTAGCTGAGAATAACAAACTCACATTTCACTCAAGCTGTTTTGAAGATTTTTTTAAATTTGTTTTACAAATTAAAAAATGTCAGCACCTACAAGTGGGAGAATAAGAAAAAAGTTAACACTGTGATCTGCATTCGTTAGGCTGTATAAACTAAAAAGCTCAATCTGAACAGGGACATTTTGTCTACACATTTTATGACAGACATTGTACACTTTCTGCGATTGGTTTTGAATATTTCCTATTTTATTTGAATCCAAGTTGTCAATGGATGTCTAACAGAGTGCAACGGTGATATTTTCGACATCTGAATGATGATGTTAAAACATCTGTTATATTTGTACCAGAAAAGAGACTTGAGTGGTAAGTTTTTCATTAGTGATGAAAACATTTCACACCACAAATTGTTTAAGAATATTTTTATTATACAAAAATAGTCTATGTAAAAAGAGCTATGTTTTTTTGTAAGCAGCTTATTGTCATTTCAGTACCATTGTTCAGTAACAACAAGATGATGGTATTATTTGCCATAAAACATCTCCAACAGAAGATCTTCCATGTTTACAGTACCAATGAGGGGTCTGAAGAACAGTTCAGTGATGACATTCGCATTGATGTTTCTGAGCATAGAAAGTGTAATGAACAGTTTGGCAAAACGAGCAGGATCTTCCCTATGAACCATTTTGACATATTCATTAAGTGCTTGTTGTGCTTCTCTTTGTAGACCATGGATATAGTGTTGACAGTGAAGCCCTGGCAGATCTGCAAAAAAACAAGATTCACCAACGTTACATTAGAAACCCTTGGGATACTGTCTGTTTTCTCCTTAAGAGGCAAGAGATTTCAAAAAGCTGCTACAATACACTTCACGTTCTTTACGCACATACAGGAGAGTTCTTCTAACATAAGCAAGAAAAAAAAAGGTATTTTGAATCCTGAATCTGGACTTTTTAGGCATTCCAGACAACCAAAATCATGTTTAAGTTACCTTAACAGTCTTTAGTTTCTTTTTTATACTGTAAACACTGTATTATTAAGTAAAATATTCTATCGGTAAAAAAAAAAATCATCTCAATGAAGTGATTGCATAGATCTGATGTTGAACCTTTTGGACTAAGCAATGTTCAGTAAATAGAAGGACGGGCTTTGGCTATCATTGTCTTATTAAAATAATAATTACATAATTCTTTCGAGATAATATTGTTAGGAAAACAATTCCTTTTTGATATTTTGTATTTTGTCGTGTACATGGGCTAGACCTTCATCTTCACTGACATCTGTAAACCTTTAAACCAACCTGGATTAAACAGAGCCGCTCCTTTCAGGTATGCGTACTCCTTGGTACTTATGTCCAGCCCCCAACACTTGCCCAGGAACGCTTTAATGCCTTGGGTTTCAGAGATGGAAAGCAGGTCATTTTGCTGATGGGGATCCTCTTGAATTCCCTGGCCGTTAGTTAAGATCCTTTCTAAGATGCTGGGCTCGGGCGTCTCGGTGGTCTCAAAATCAATTCGGTCCTGTGCCATGCCAAGCACTAACAGCGGTGCCCAGCAGTGCCTCACCAGCAGGAGCTGATCATCCCCCGGCAGTTCACGAAAGCAAGGCACGTTCTTGATAAACTTAAGCGTCTTCACCAAGACCGCGGAAGCTGCCTTGCAAGTGATCTGCTGACACCTCAGCGTTACTTTTTTCTTGGATCCACAAGAGCAAGCCTGCTGGGCGATGCCTTGGTGTACGCGGGCGTGGAGCTCCGTCTGTTTGTCGTTTTTTAAAATGCTGTAGAGGATACTGTTTTGCCTCCTGTCAGCGAGGCAGTGACAGCCGTTGAAGCAAGCCATCCTTCTTCACATTCGCACTGTCCCTGTTTTCCACGCTGCTTTGAAGCTGCTGTGGTGTGTTTAGTTAGACCTGTGACTCACTCACGCAGCAGATGTATATTTCCTTCCTCCCATCCGTAAGAACTTGGGCAGACTTTTTTTTTTTCATATGCTCAAACACACCTCCCACAAGTCTTGCACAGCGACGCGCCTAGAGGGAGCCAACGGCTACCAAACTAACACACGTATTTGGAAACAAGAGGGTAGGACGGTACCTATTAACTTTTTAATGCCGTAACAGATTTTACTAAACTGACAATTGCTGTTCTACAGGCGTATTTATTAGCTATAAATCCTATAAACGCTGTCATGAATGCACTTCACAATTCTGGAATTGGATCACAGAGGATAGCAAACATAAAGGTTTTCTTAGATCTGCTTCGTTCGCCTTTGTTTCCTCAAGTTTTAAGCATTGAATCACACTCTGTCCAACGTCCAGCTGAAGGGGATTTGAATATGATATCAGTTTCTTTCCATGACCTTATTAACTTGAGAAAGATTTGAGTCTGCGGAAGACAGAATGAATCATCACAGAATAATTTTCTTCGTCATTGACGACTACTGGCATATTTTCTCATGTGCCATTTTTCTCTGAGTGCCCCATTTTGCCCCCAGAGTCCAGCTTGTTAAAGACACGTTATTAATCTAACCCCCAGATGTTAATTGTGCACTTATAGATTAAGTGGTGTCTCTAAACTGTCCCTGTGTATGTACGCCCTGAGACAGAGTCTGGGTTACCATGACCCTCACTTGGAATAAATGTCGTTCTGATAATAGATGGATTGATGGATGGAGAGATTTCAGTACATGGAAAATCAATCGCAATTTCTTTTCTTATTAATAAAAATTTAGATTTATATGCAAATAATTTTCACCTAAGCTCCAATGTGTAACTCTCATTAAATGAATGGTTTATCATTTTAAAAATGAGATTTTGTTTTAATATTCCAAGTGATTTTTTTTCTTCACATTTTCATGGCGGTCCCAAATTAATTGCTTATCATTATGTTTACATATACCACCAGATATGGGGACATGTGTAAAAAATCTTGCATACATATTGAATATTTTTCTGTTTTGTCTGTTTTTAAGTGAGGCAATTCAAATGAGGAATCAGAGTTGTTCTGCTTACATTTAAACTTTGTTTAACTTAGAACCTCTTGTTTAACTGAGAACAAAGGTTGCTTTTCATTAACTCAGCTGAAGGGATTAGCTCTCCTTACCAATGTCTTTGAAGCATCATAAAATGAAATTGATTACATATTCAGAATCCTCTCATATTCAACTAAGCATCCCACATATAATGTAATTCTTCCAATTTCCCAAAACAGTGTCACATTATAAAGATAATTAGCGTGTGTGCTAAACTCAGCATTACATATAATATAACACTGTTGTGCATGTCTGCTACATTTTGTGCTTGGTTTCAATTATTTGATAGTAAAGTTTTAGAATTATCTTAATCTCCTATATCTAAGCCATAGAAGTCCAGTTTGTCTTTATTTGGGCATCATCGTGAGCTTTCATCCCACTTTGTAAGGAAAATGTATATGAGGGCATTGAATCTGTCTTTTGTACAAAATAATTATTATTTAAAACCTAGTCCTATGCAGGTGTCATTTTAGGTTCATCCTGGCTGCCTGACACTATTTTCAAAGCCTGATAATCTCTTGAGTAGTTCAGGTGGGGAGCTGCGTCAGCATACATAGTTTTCAAAGGAATAAGTAATAGGTTTATTCCATGCTGAAAAGAGAAGAGAGAAAACACTACGTTTCGGCTGTGAAGCCTTCTTCAGGTGTAGGTTATTACAGCAATTTAAATAGAGGGCATTGTCTTTCTATAGGGCAATTTAACAGTTGTGAGAGCACATGCCCAGTAGGGATAGGGACCAAATTCCCCAGAATCCTCTGGGGGAATGAGCTGCAGCTCTGTCACCTGACCAGTTACAGGAAGCCAATTGGTCAGGTGACTTGGTCATTGGCTGCTCGGCCATGATAGTTACGGACTTCAAGAAGAAGTGTAGTCATGAGCTCAGGAATGTAGGCTTTTGTTTTGGTTTATTTGGATGTGGTGTTGTGAGTTCTTTGCACTGTGTGTTTGTTGGCCTTGACCCACCTATTTTTAAAGATCCCATTACAACATGCCCAAAGGTATGTCACACAGAGCTATGTACACAACATTGCCCTTTTGTTTGTATCTTGCTCTCCAGGAAAACCTTTCTCTTATGGTAATTACTTTATAGACTGGAAATTATTAATTGGTTTCATTAAAATGACTCACTTATAGATTAATCAAAAGTCTTGTTGCGCTAGGCTGCATGGAGCTTCATTTTCTTTAATTAAAAACATTTTGCTGTTTTGCCCCTTTTTTATTTTTCATACAGTATGTGCAGGAGTCTTGTCAGTCTTTGTTATCATCATTGTATTGTAAAATACCACGCATAAACTGCATTGCACACATATGATGTTGGTCCTTTGGTCCCTGCGTCTAATGAGCAGGCAAAGTCGATCAGCTTGCACTTCTAAGATGAGTGCAAAACCCATAATGCGGTTGGTCTCACCCATAATACTTGGACAGGTTCTTGTTCTGTTACATAAAACATGCCCTGAAATATTTCCCCATGATTCATGTTTTATCTCTGAGCAAGTTCTCAGCCATTATCAACATCTTGAAATGGCGAGATATGATAGATCTTGTGAAATTAAAACATGGTTTTATTTAACAGAGGTTACAGGATAAAAAAAACTAAAAACAACAAGCAAACGTACACGTATTTCAGGATAATGATGTTAGCTGCCATCTGCGCTCTGTGTACTGTTTGGAGAAAACTGTGTTTGAGTTCTTGAAGATAAAACCATTACAACTACTTGAAATTGATAAAGAATTGCCTTGAAGCAAAATCTCTACATTAAAGATATCTGTTATATTTTATATAATAAGAATCTAAGAGTGCCACCAAGGCCATTTTAGAGATCAGCACAACTTGGGTATCAAGTACTGTAACTATGCTGATTATGTTATAAAATGTGTGAAATGTATGCCGTATGCCAAATGTAAGTGCAAAACATCTTCTGAATACCAAATATTGATCTGTATAACCTGAGATAAATTATTTTGTTGTTTATCTGTGACAAATTATTTATGCAGAACTTTCCTATTTTATTATGAGTCATAACATTGGACTCTGTTTTGAAAACAGAGTCAGATAATTTTCTGCTACCATCTGTTGTCTTAGGTATCGTGGTGTGCTTCATGCTATCATGGAGTAATAACCATCAAAACCGTAAGCTTAGGTCAATCAAGGAAACTTTCATTATATGAAACAACATACACTGTAACGTTATATACTTGAGTCATAAAAAATAAAAAGGCAGTGGTGAATTAATTAATCTGTCTCTTATTGTTGATTCAGTGGCATATGATTTTCCATTTTAACATCACAGAACTGTGCCTTCTGTCGAATGAATCAATTATTGTGTATTGTACATAATTTGTAATATTTTGTACAAAAGGGAAAAACCTTGTTGCAAGGTCAGCCTTTAACCCTGACATTTATACAGTATTATTGATGTAACTGAAAACTGGAGTTAATGAATACTGAGGTTATGACTCAATAGCTTCATCATATTTTTCAAAGGCATCGTTACCAGGTGCAAAGTAAAATTCAGAGAGACATCAGTTTAATGTCTCATAATAAAATATCTTTGGGCTCAACTAGAAAATAAACCACAAAGGCTGCCAAACAATTTATTTTGTCATCAGAGGAAAAACAGAGAAAGCAACTTTTTTATGATCCATGTTGAAAACATTCCAAAATTGAAACCAAACTTGTACATTTCCATTCCTTCTTTACTCTTTTTTAGGAAGAACTGAAAGTTTTTTAACACAAACACTTAACTTTTAAAATACGGATTTTAATTTTACAATAGCTTTCAATGTGATTCTTTGATTACAGTTAAATCAATAACTTTTACAAGCTCTGCTAAAAATACAGTAACAACAGTACATCCAGGTCCTACAAAATGAAACCAAGTTCACCAGTGGCTGTCTTTGATAAATACCTAGGTAATTGCTTTGTATAATACATTGAAAGTATTATTGATAGAGCTGCTACTGTAAAACTGAAAGATTTCATTTAAGTCTCATTTTCTGAGGAAACATTTTGAAACAAGATATTTTGCCAATGTCTGTTGCATAAAACACAGGAATGATTCCAAATGCAAATAATTTAAATTTCCTTACAAACAGATCCCTTGGAGTTGTTTGAATAGTATGAGATTGACAGTTGCAGTGCATTTGAAATGGTGTACCATCTTAAAATTCTTTTTAAGAAAAACTAAGTTCTCATCATCCCACAAATCAGGGATGTCAGAAATGGAGATCAAGGCATTTGATCATTTGATCAACAGAACACCAATCTGTTTGAAGGCCCACAAAGAAAGGGACAATCTAGAATATCCCATCAAACCTAGTCAGCATGTCTTTGGATTATGTGAGAAAACTGCAGCACCCAGACAAAACCCAAGTAACACAGGGAGGTCATGCAGATTCTACACAGACAGCTTTTAACTTCTTAAGAATTTTTGTTCTACCAAGTCTAGTTAAATGGCAGTTCAATGTCAAGAGTGCTGCTGCGATCAACATGCAATCAGTATGATCACGTACCCATTAATAATTGTTACTGCTACTGTACTACAATTATAAAAATGTTACTTAAGACTCAAACACCAAAGACAAGATTAAAATGCAGATTAAAGTGAAAAAAGTCCATGAATGTGGACCCCCTTTTGTGAGTGTCTCACAAGATTGTTATCTTAGAGGTTTAACAACAAGTGCATGAACCACCTTCTAACCTCAGCTCATCAGACCTCAGAAGATAAATAAGGCCGGACCAGGTCAGTAGTGGGCTAGAGAGACCTCTAAGGAAAAAGCAGGTTGCTGTTGTAAGAGGTGTAGGTGAACCAGTAGGTGCTGCTCATTCCTCTGGGCCAGAATTTTCAAAATCTTGTGCACCAGAATGATACCCAGAGACACTCTGCTGTAGGAAGTGTCCTCTTTGGACTCAGATATTAAACTGAGGTCCTGACTGCCTGGTCATTCTATATATCAATTTATTGTTCATAAG